CGTTCGCCGTTCCCAAATCCAATAATCCTTGGAAAAACCTCTTAAGTGACCGCCGTTATGCTCGTCTAATTTATTTCCGCTTTCAAATTGAATTCGAACTCGCTCGATGAGGCTGAAATATGTGCGTATGTTGGACCGAACCGGATTAAAGCCTTTTCCGACTTGTCGCCGCTGTTTGCGGGCACGGAATCGACCGAGGTTTTTTTGTATTCCATTAAGAAATAAAAATTTATTTAGGCCACTTGCTATTTCTGATTACGCAAGAGCTACATAAACATACAAATGGCTACTAAAAGAGCGGCATAAAACCGCGAAAAACCCGCAGAATTTGCATTCAAATGAGCTCGGTCGAGTATAAATTTCGAAAATAATTTTATAATTACAGGGGCGTCGAACGTTCAAACTTACGCCGCAGTGCGGCTGCTTGACCGACCGAGTTTTTTTTTTATTATTCGAAATCGAAGAAGCGCTACCTTGGGACAAAACCTTCGCTACGGAAGTAACACCTGCGAGCGGAAGTAAAATCGAGGAAACGGGAGCGTTAATCGCCGGTTACATTAAAAAGTTATCTCGTTGAGAACTCCTCGACAGACTTCTGAAGCCTGACCACGCCAAAATAAATGATCCTGCGTACTCCAATTTCTCTTTTGTTGTTCGCCCATTGTCGACAAGGCTTTCATTAGGTTTTATTTTCATATTACAACCCACGCGGGCTGGTCCGAACATCATTCGCATCGCCAGACTACTTCCAAGTTCTAGCAGCAAGTTCTGACATTACAGAACAAATGAAGATGCAAGAGCTGGCTTATATCCAAGTTATTATAGCTGACGTTAATGTCATACTTCAGAGTTGGCAACCTGCAGGTTGAGGCTCTAACACGATTACCAACGTACGATCTGTGCTCGGTTAAAATTTATTTTTCATTTTCCCATCACTCTCGGCGGTAACGAGCTCGATGCATCTTCATCGTTGCAAGTTTGTTAAACTTTAAACTTTCTAATTTTACTTGTGTTGCACTCGAGCCGAAAGAAAACGACGTAACCACGTCTGTCTAACAACGGAGCTTATTAATCGCTCCGAGATTTTGGCGTGGATCTGAGGTACTCTGCAAAAGCACGATCAATCGGTCAAACAGTTTTGGTCACCTGCATGATTTCGTGTGATTCTATGCGCATCGAACTATTTGCACAACCATCATCAACTCGCACCGTCCAGTAGAACAATATTTGCTTGGCTTCTGAATAATTTCGGTCCAGTCGTTGGAATCGTTCCATGTATTCCCAGCGACATAAATGCGTCGCAGAATTGGTTAGATTTAATGTCATTCTCGTCTAAATTGGCGCGAATTTTCAGCTCGACAACACATTAACTTAATAACAACTAGTATTTGCCTATTCGCTCATAAATAACTTGGCCGGCGGACTGAAATAGCATAAATCGCATCCTCGATAAACAAGCTCATTAAGACCGGGTTGTTGTTTAAACATCACGGATACATTTCACGGTCGCGTTGTCATGTGAAGTTTTATCCCGTCGAAACGACAAATTAGTTAAACTTGACGCGATTTACGTAATATTCGCAACTAACGGCCCGAAAAGTAGACAAATTATATCGCGCCGAGAGCGCTGAAAAATATTCATGAATCGTAGCCGATTGCGCGAAAGTTTTAGAAATTACGGGAGCGGTAAAGTTGGATGAATTCATTTAAAAATTTTCAGCTCCGCCCGCTCGTCCTTCCTGCTGCCGGTTTTCTTCATAAAAATTTTAAACTAGGGGTTGTTCCATGATATACAAAGTATATTACATAAGGAGGTACGGAATTATTCATGCACTCATGTCTCGGAGTCGTAATAAAAACCTTGTTAACCTAAAATTGTTTACCGTTTTTCGCTATTATTTCCTTCGAAAAAACGAGGACACAAACGGAAAACTGGAAGGGCGCCATTTTCCATTATTACAATAACAATTCCGACGTAATATCTCGGCAGAAATCGTAAGGATTGACTGTATTTTCGAAGCTTTGTTAGAAGTAATTGATGGTATCTCGAGCTTTATGGGTGAAGGCTCCTGTTTTTCATGATGGCCGCTCCCCATCTGCGGACTTTACGTATTCTCGACGTATTTTTCGCTAAAAAATTGAATAATTATTATCAGTTCAAGTTGGAATCGGCGTCGACGCGTCGACGGTCACACAAAACATCGAAACTGTGCATTTATGATCACAATGGTCCCTAAATTAGTTGGCAATAAGAAAGGCACGTAGGTTCGCATTGTTGGAACACTTCGCTAATGGTAAAACAATGCTTCAAATTGACTGGGGAACGTCGGGAATTTCAATATAATTCCTAGATCGATCGAACTCGCTCTACTTTGAGGTGCGCGTTTTCCTATTTATTTATTTTCTCGTACTGCGGATTCCTTAATTTGTGGATGATTATTAAAATAATTTATTAATCGTTGCAATATGAATTTTTCGACCCGATTCTGCATGCATAAGAATTCGGTCGGCGTATTTGCTTAGCGCGTGCATATACACCACGTTCGAGTTTAATTTAAAGTTCCTCGACTGACTCGAATTTGCATTTGTTATAACAAAGTTTAGAACTAAGAAGTCGAAACTCCTCCGGGCCCCGTTTTAAAATACAGATACACGTTCCCCGCGCCAACTGCAATAACATTCTCGAAAAAACTGATTTTTTGTCCAAGTTTAGTCATCGGAAGCTCATTTAATTTCATAACGGTTTGGGAAAAGTCGAGCGTGCCGAAAGGTTAATAGCGGAGCGCCAACTTTCTTCTCGGTCGAACAAGAACCTCGCTCGAACGCGAAGAAATTTCCAAAAATGCAAACTGACGGCGTAAAAGGATGACGACGCTAATAAATTTCGAGGAAATGGAAATAAAGAGTTCTGCCGAAGTTGGGGATATTGCATAGGAATGGATTTATTAGATATTCCGCGGAAAAATAAAGTTACGGAATCGTAAAACAAGAATAAAACGAATATTACAGGCAGATTTGTTTTTAACAACGCACAAGTCTCGACGACCGCGGCGGCATCAGCTATGCCCGTCTGTGCGATTTTAGAAGCACCTGGAAGGAAACGTAGTTAGCTCGTTAAGCTTTTGCGATTGTTATTAGCGTGTTAACGAAAGAAATGAAGAATCGCGTCGGCTCGACTGTGCCGATTCGAACGACGGCATTCACCGGAACAATTCGATTTTTTTCGGCGACTTCAAACACTTTTGTTCGTTTGATGTAAGCACCTCTGCTAACGTTCCTCCTAATTGGCGGCACTTAACGTCCGTAGTCTCCCTTTAACTTACGCGGGGATAGGTCATTTCGAGAAAAAATAAACGCCATTGTAAGCTTACGCGACCTTTTCCGTTGTCGGCTCGGGAATGGCAAGCATTCGTCCCTCGAAAGATTAAATTAAGATGACTTCTTTGAGTCGAAATTGAAATTGTGTAAACGACTGATAAAAATGTTTTGCGTTTTAGCGCGAACCACCCCAACGGCAAGGCACACAAATTAAATTTAAATTTTGAAGCTCGGTTTATTGTGAATTCCAGCAGTAAAAATCAATCAGCTTTATTAAGTTAGAGGAAAGTTTATACATAATGGAAGTAGCGAGGAAATCCATTCGAAAAAGCAAAATAGCGAGAATTTCCGCGGTCGCGATCGAGGAGGTGCTTGCATCCGACGTAACCTTCTTCCTCCATGGCAACATATCTCTTGCATCAGATCAGCGAGCAGGCAGAGAGTTAAAACGTAATAACTGTAATCCGGTCACGTATGCAATGTTCCATCAGCGATGCCCCGCTAGATAAAGACATCGCCCTGATCCCCATTATCCAAGCTTTGGTAAAATTGGCCCCCGTTTTTTACGGCGGAACGAAGCGAGCTGGCGCGTGCGATCGCAGCGCAATTCCGAAATTGGTCAGCCGATGTTTTAAAGAGCGACGATTTATCATCGCTTTGCATGTCGATCCGCTGTCACAGAGCCACTAATGTTCCGAAATGATCCATCAAGTCCCTAATACGTTGTCGGATTATCGTTACACGCTACTCAAATAATGCTCAATCCATTTATAATACTCGAAGAGTGTTTGCTCGGTATCCTGTGTTGTTGCGCCGGCATGTACATACTTCGGCTCGGAATTGCTCTAACGAGCTCAAAAAAGAGAGGAGACGCGGGGTGCGCTCGCACTTTTAAGTTATAGAAGACAAGGGACGTGACTATCGGAAAAAACGATGCATCGCTCACGTATTTCATTACAGGACCAATTCCTGAGGAATCCGAGAAACGGGAGCTTTTCAGCAAACTCATTTAATTCCATAACAGCTTCCAAAGTTATTTTTTACGGATTTGGGGCGGCACTTAGACAACGGGATTTCTTCCTATAAGTGGAACGCGATCAGGATCGGGAGGATTTATTGAAACCATGATACATTACGAAATCGGAGGATACGGTGGCAGGCACGTAACCATAAACGTACCGTGGATGGGTGGAGACTCGTCGGTTAATCGACGGTCCATTGAAAAGTCGGAAACGAATTCTGTCCTCGTCCGTGTTTATACGTTAACGAAAGAGAATTCTGCGTGCGGTACGTCGCCGTCGTACTTATCGATACGAAATGAGAAATTTATGAGACGCGAACAAAATGTATTCACCGTCATACACAAATATATCTCGAATCCGCCACCATTACGTTTTTGCTCTAAATCCACAAAGCGCCACGCCGAGAATCAATACGCTTTACATATTCCATTTATTTGTTTGTTTCGTAAGATTTCATCCCGGAGTCGTTGGCTTTATCCCTAATGTTTGGAATGGTTCTTTGAAAAGTGCAACTGCAATCCCGTTGTACGTTCCACCGTCGAGTATTAAACTGGTTTTACTCCACTCAAAAACACACTCGTCGTACACTGTTTCTATCCTCTTTTTTTTTACAACACACATGACTGCTTTGATCTAATGCACTTTCCTTATCCATTTCAGAAGCCGATTATACCTTGGATGAATCGTTTTGGATCGAAGAAAGCCCGGTCGGTGAGTACACGCACGCACGCCACTTCTTACCCCAACAACTCCCCTTTCTCTTTGTTGTTGGGTTTGTTTATGATCGTTTCCGAAAAGAGTTCGACAAAGATTGCAGAACTCGGGTCCGCTTCGCTGATGCGCTTCTAGTAGTTGTCACGAAAAAGGCACCGAATGCACGAAACCCCGGCACCCGTCTCTAGTTTTGGCAAATGTAGCAGAACGGCACTCGATTTGCTTATCCTTAATGGTTTTATAAACGCTGCTGAGGGTTGATTTTCCCTCTAGTCGTCTTGTCGCACTCCGTGTAATTTAAATTGAGTTAGAACGCTCGGACAATAAACTAGTGGGACTCCAATTAACATGAAAATGGAATAAAATAATGTCGGGCGTAAATTATTTTCCTTCCAGCAGGGTTGACTAACGCTCGACTCGCCTCGAATAAGGAGGTTTATTATAAAATTAATCCTGAAACACGTTCATTCATCAACTCGATGATATACACAAACAAGCAGGTGAAACACTCGACGAGTCTTAATCTGACCGAGCGATCCGATCTGAATGATCTGGGGTTTAAAACTTCGACGATGGTTTTTCTTTTCGGTATTTTATGCCTTATGGAATACCCTCGGGTCGCGTTTGGGGGTTATTACGGCGTCTAATATTTATGGATGGCTTTGAAGTATTACTCTACTATATTTTTTAGGGGCGATTTGTATGCCGAAACAGAATTCTCGAGAAAAGTACCGACAATAATACTAAATCCAATAACCAAATTGCCTCTTCTTATTCGGATGCGGAAATTTTTCGCCTTGCGTCCCAAATTAATGCTAAATTAAACGTCGATCTAAAACACCATTATTCAAATCGAAGGGATTCTGCGGTGCTCGATTTAATCCAACTAAATATAATCCGGTTACATAATTTATTTCAATGGAGTCCGGTCCAGACAATGAGTACGCCCAAATCGGACCTATTACCAAACAGAATTAGGTAATTTGTAAGTAAGGTGTGAGCCTCGATGGAGATAGGCGCCGAAATGGTCCCAAAATGCAACCGGGCGGCTTCGCTGAATCGAAATCGCCCAGGAAACTCTCTAAATTGCTCAGATCACGGACGATGACAACGTTCAGAATTGGAAAACTATTTTTATCTACGGTAACGCAAGGTATTACACTCAAAAACTCGTCTGATAGAACTCATCTACTTCGCACTAGAGTGGTGTGGGCGCTGGCATCCTACCGTCAAAGACTTTTAACGACGACCGAGAAAGTACTTGTCTCAAGAAAAGAAAAACGACTTCCAAAATCCAATTTACTACCTAGAAGAAACTCGAGCAAACGAAAATTCTGCGACCTTTGCACTTTACTCTGCAAACTCGTCTGCTAATAATAGTTATGAGGTACGATTTACCCATTTTCTTGAAAGAATTTCGAAGCTTCGGTATCACAACTTACAAAAATTCAATGTTTTTTAAATACTTACCCAGCCACCTCGATACTATGGGAGCAAAAAAATAAGCCCATTCACCAATTTAAATTTCCTCCAAAAAGATGAAAAGGCTTGTAAGAAAATTGTTCTAATGAAACCGCTCTTATTAGACTGCTTTTTTGAAGGTACTCGTCGTAATGCTGACGCATTTAAACGTCCCACAAAAAGTGGGTTAGAAATGAAAATACGTAGGCTACTCGTACTTGCAGACTCATGTCTTCTTTCGTCTGTAGTTAAAACTGCCCCAGGGACGTTTTCTTCGACGAGGCGACCGTTAAAAGATGTCGTCCTGATTCCTCTCCATCCCGTTTTCTTCTTCCCGCCTTCCGTCCTTCAACTCGATCGCTCGAGACAGATTCCAATAAATCAAATCAAAGATCGCAAGTATCCGAGTTTGAGCCGGGAACGTTCCGGTCTTTCTGCATCCGTGGGGGGCAGGTCCGGCTCTTGACTGATAGGCAGGCAGGCAGGCAGGCAGCGTGCAGCGAACGGCTAATCTCGAGGACAGGCACGTACTGGCCTTTTAGATTGCAGTTGTTTGCCGGGCGATCACGTCAGGCGCGTGACGCCATCAATCTGCCCGTCAGAGGGGGTTGTGCCTTCGCCAAATATTTAATTCATCCGAAAGTGGTTCGGTCTGCCGCGAGATTACCTGAGCTCGCGATTTATTGGCGAATTTCCCGGCGGCAAGGGGCGCCCCCGGCACATTAATAATACATGCACGTCGCTGGATAACGGAACGAAATCAAAATTGTTTGCTCTCGCGCGGTGGCCGAGGAGGGAAAGAATAACACACGGATAAGATTGACTGATGAGGGGAAGTCGGTTTTTGTAATTAACCCCCGACAAGGGGCGGTTCTGCGGTGGAGTTTTTCGCACGGACGGTATTGTCTGACGACCGAGTTGATAATATTCTCTTGTCAAGTTGTCAGCCAAGTTTTTATATTACGTCGAAACTTCGTCTTTGAGTCAATATAATCAAAGTCTTGTAACGCACGAAATATTAACAAGTTCCTAACAAAGTTTCGTCATTCTTTAACGAATTTTAATATGTTGTTAAGATGCCGAAAATTCAATAGGACCTTGTTAAGATAAAATGACTTGAATGGAAACAAGACGCTGCTCTCGATTCTGTTTATGCGAGGGGTAGGATTCTGCGTGCTCAAGTGGCCGTAACAAAGAGAAAAATTAACGATTCAGACCGTTCCGGATTTCCGATGGAGGGTCAAAAAGTGTTTATTTCTGATGGGTGCCGTTGATGGAAACTTTGCTCGAGTCAACTTTTTAATTTTGGACGTCAACAATATTCGACGTGCCCGAAAAAAGAAATAAGCTTTTCCAGGAGATTGAATCAAAGCGCAGCAATAAAATTTCAATGAGGCAACAGCCTCTCGGAGGGATTTATTTTTCTAACATTAAAGTTAAAGGAACATAACGTAAATATCAGAGATGGCTATATATTTAAGGAACGCTTTTGAGGAAAACGCCACTAAAAATTTCCAGCTGAAATCCTCCTTCTCTGCTTCCAGTGAAACTATAAACGAGCAGTCGGCAAAAATCAAAGCTTCTGATTGAAAATATCAATGTTTACCTCTCTAATAATTCCATCGGAAGAAAAACCTTTCTTTGATCAGTAATTTGTGTCCGATTCGTCTGAAAATCTCTTCGTCCGTACCTCTAATTGCCCGTTGACCCAGATTTCGGCGTTTAAACTGTAGTCATTTTTATGCCATTAAATGCACGAATCGAACGGCATCGCAGTTCGATTTTGGACAATACCGCCACCAAACTGGACCGTCTGTTGTTGGCAAAAAATCACCTCGGCTGTGGGATTTACAAAGTCCCGTGTTTATTCTGATGACGCAGGGACGTAATAAGGCCCAACGTTGTCGTTATAATTAAATTCGCCTTAGGTGTGTTAATGAACAACATCGCCAAGGGTCGAGCGATGGCCGGGATTCACGCATAACAACCCCAGATTCTCCGGGTCATTTGAGGTTAATGTTTCACATTGGTTTAACGATTACCCCTCGTCATCAAATGTCAGCACGCCATTGTTGCCTTTCCAGACGTGAATTGTGCTCGTCGAAGTGTTACACCGAGTCCTGGAACTTTAATAAATCGTCGAGATCGAAACGATACAACGCGCCATACGGAAACTAAGTTTGCGCCAATTCGAGCAGTTTTTTACGTTCGATTAATTTACGCCGGGACATCACCTATCTGCGAATTATTCGAACGAAAAACCTCATCTTCCGACCGAGGGGACCATAAATCAACCGAAATGCATTTGCTCACGTCTTATCAGCAATAACTCGCTACGTTGTGTGGTTGCGCCAGACCGGTCAGATGGGAATTCACATTGCCAAGGATCATGTTGATTAAGGTGATGCGCTTTGCTTACCGTCGAGGGACGCAACGTTATGTCACACCGTGTTTGTGCAACGACTTTTTAGTACGGGTTTTGATTTCGCTACATTTAACATTTCTATGTGATTATAGCAAGAACTTTCGAAGTTACTTCGTCAGACAGAGTCTAATTCGGAGAGAAAAATCCACGGATTCCGATGTCCTGTTAATTTAGTGTATAGTACCTCTACGATACGTATCGGGCGTATTTTTCAGGAGACGTTCTTTTCAAAGGAACGAAGGCAAGAAGAGCAGTAAAACTAGTTGAAAGGGCTCGTAAGCGCTCCACTGTTTCTAGAATTAATGAGAATCAATTTAGTGCAAAAACTGCGTGCATCGTCAAGGAGGACGAATTTGAGCTGCAGCTGCTTTGGCGTCTTGCCGTAATCGGTTCGAAAATCCCCATAATAAGCCTTGTGGGTCATAAATAAAGTCAGGTGTCGAATTATAATGGCCGAACCTATATTATCCGGCGCACACTTTATAAATTCGAAGATTACAGGGATTTATGTAACACTGTTGTTTTCGTTCAACCCATGAAATAAATTATTGTTTGTTAACGGGAAAATTGTTATGCATAATTCATGTACAATATCATCTTATCAGCACGATCACAACACCACCTCGTCGTGTTTATGGCTTGGACAAGCAATGAGGCTCATATCGGTCGTTAAAGCATAATACGCTACGCCACCAATAAAAATCCGAAGATTTTTTGCCGCGGGGGTCGATTTTATCGGCAATATGTGTCGGAAAAATGAACCGGAAAACGTCGTAAATAATGTCCGAGTGATGGTGCGGAGGAAAACTCTCGTCAAGATTAATTAAACGGAAAGTTCGCGACTTTGTTACTGCACAAGTTTAAACATCTCCCCCGTAAAAATTAGCAGCTTCTTCGAAAAAAGCCGCAAGAGATGCTCGTCGCGTAATTTAATAGTGCTGCGAATACGTCAGACAAGGTGTTGCGGAACGACAGGATAAAGCAAACAGGGCCGTAGGGAACGTCAGATGGTGCCGCTGGTAATGAAACCGCGGACACAAAACGACTCCGCCATTAGTTAAACCGCTAAAGGCAACCGTGCAATGCAACTTATCTGCTGCGCAAACAAAAACTTGGAGGTTTTTTTTTTTTACTGCCACATAAATAATAACGCGCTAACGAAAATATCTCGTAAATACAGCACCGGCAATGGTCGAAAAGAATCGAGCGATAAATCAAAATTAAAAGCGCAACGGCAACGACACACGCGAAATTTATGTTTCGACGCAAAACATGAAGTCGACGGAAATGCGTGAGTGCTGGGCGGATTCGGAAAATGAATTACATGACCTGGTTCGCTCCTGAAAGGAGGAACGACACCCTTCTAATCGGCCCTTCGGAAACCATCATCCGTTATTGTTCTTCAAAAGAGTCGTTTGTGCCACGGCTGCTTAAGATACTCGAAGGAATGTGCGTGAGTTCGACTTGGAAGATTTTGTAACGCTTACGAGATTTTTGATAACCTGAACTCCAAGAACTCAGCTAAAGAGAAGTCACCGGGTCACTCAACGAGACGGGCCATCGAACCTCTTAAGTTTCGGTTTTAAAAGTAGCGCGTGATTTGGAAAGTAAGAGTTAGTTATCCATCTCGTGACCTAACGCGTCTAGTACTACCACAACTAACAGTAGGTAGTAGTAAGAAGGGTTTAACAGAATCCATAAGAAGCAACATAGAGACGAAGACGTGAATAAAGAAATGTTTCTTCTTTAATTGACGCTCTGGAAGCAGCAAGCATTCCGTGATCGCCGTCCTTTCGCGTGCCGGAAGCGCGAGGTGCGAAAACGCCGACCGTCGCCGCTGCCGCTCTTGGTATCGTGTTAAGAGTGAGTTTGGAAATAAGAAGCGGCAGTAATAACAGAAAGGCGAACAAAGAAGAGAAAAATACACCGATGGCATCGTGTTGAAGAGAAGTGGAGCGAATCATGCTGTTTGGAAATAACAAATCCCGCCCATTGTATGCGGCTTTGTTCGATTTGAATCCGGCAATGTTACGTTTTGTACCAGACAGACAATGCGACTCACACAAAGAATTCCTAATCCGTACGTATCGAAAATATGGACTATCGACGTCGTCAGTAAATCACTCCGTGACTGCGATCCCCTTTGATGTTTTTTTCCCTTCCTGTCGCGTTTCAGGTGTTTGCAGCGCCGTTACTTACCCAGGACAACTTTCCGTAATTAAACCCACCTTGATTGAACTAATCGCAAATAATTCCGTGTTACTGGTGGAATTCTGCGCGGGTTTGCGGTTCGGTTTGTAAACAGTTGCGGTCAGCGTTAGGTAATGAAAGCAGTAGAAAAGCTACGTCCGACAGATATTAGATTGTTAGGGTGACCGCATGTACTAGATTACGTGCCCTATATACGCCGGCAGCGAAGCTGTCATGTTTTATTATGGCACGTCGTCAAAGGTTGCCTCTAATTACTTGCCAAATAAGAGACGTCTCGCAGGAGAAAAATCGTGGTTTATTAATTAGCAGCGTGCCGGGAACTCCGCGCTCTTATTAGTCATGCGGCGTTAATAATCGCACGTATCCTACTATGTAGAGAATGACTCGAGATTCGAGGATTTACGAGCCGCGAAAGCACTTTCTGGCTATTACGTCTAGGGAGGAATGTTAAAATACACGATTTTAGTTATGGCTTTACTGCATTATCCCTACATAACACCTAATCGAGAATCTGGCGCCGTAATAACCGCGGTAATAAGAATAATGCGAGAACGATGAGGTCTTGCGGAGTAGACCTGAATTTTTGATGTGAAAGGAACCGACCCCGCGGAGTTCTCGCTAAATTAAAAAGAGGCAAGCGAACGAACGAACGCCCGAACGCTGATATTCGTACCCTAGGAAAGTGTTCGAATTTCTAACGAATGCACTCCACGTCACGGTGCAACCATGCATCGAGCGAGCAGTCGGAAGCGAAAATTCGTGCGTAAAAAGCGCGTTTTAATCTCAGACGATGGAATTCCCGACACATGGACTTACGCCGCTGCTGCAATTTTTTAATTAAACGCCGAGCTCCCGAATCGTGTCGACGCCCCTAATTAAATTTACGGTGATCGCGTTTTATTTTCGTTCCACAGGTGGTGTCCGACCGTTACAAAGTGTAGGTGTAATCTAGACGTACGCGCTGGACAATCGTTAAAAACATCACATTATCACGTGCTTGTATATACGACGGACGAGATAATTTGTAGGAATTTTTGCGCAAGGTTTTTCGTGAAACCGAAGAGACGAAGAATACGGGATAAATACACAGAGAGAGAGGGTTGATTTTGGAGGGTCCGAGCACGGGTGGCGACTCGGAAGGGACGTGCCACACGCACCGTGACGTTTTCACTTGTTGAAAATGCGTGTCGCGGTGGTGCAAAAACGTTCCCCCTCGTGTTCTTTGCGGTCGAAAAAAAAACTCTCGTTCCAGTAAAAGAGTTCCGGCAATATTAATGTTCCTCTAAAATGATTTTCTAGTAAGGTTAAGTTATGATTGTGTTGTGTTGGCTTGCATCCGATGGTAAATTTCTAGAATTTATGTTATTTCTCCCGCCTTCCTGTTTCGCACCGAGCCTGACAATGAAAAATGTTCCAAAGCAATTTCTTTTCCGTCGTTATTTATGAAATAATGAAGGAAGTAACATATATATATATCTATACGCTGTATAAACGATGAACGTGTTTATTTGTTGCACTATTCATTTATCAAGCGGCACACGATTATGGAGAGATTTGTAATTTTGCAGGAGAGGTGGAGAGGCTCCTTCAAGAGTACACGCAGAACCAGGACATGGTCACAAACATCGGCGTTCATTACTACCAGATCATTTATCCCGTACAGTTACGCCAGCACAAGAAGATGGGGATCTCCACTAGGGAGATAGGGTCGTCTAAGGTACGCAAAGAGCGGAGTACGGTATGTCACAGCACTTGTTCATCTCATTGCTCACCCTCTCGTCACCCTTTGCTTTCCCCCACAAAAAAAAAGGGAATTTGCAATCGGTTCGGCGACGGTCGAACCGCCTGCAACTTCCTTTCCGTTCAATTGCGCGGCGAACATTTCATTAATTGTTCATCACCCATCCACCATTTCTGTCATGTGCAATTTGTCGCAAGCGGACGTTTTAAACGCCAAATTTAATAAATCTTCGAAAACGGGGAAATATCTCGAATTGTACGTCCTGAATATTTATTCAAAGATCAAAGCGAAATTTGCCGCCGCGTCTTTGAGGAAAAAGGTAGCGGATGCCTGTAATAAATTCAAACATAAAATCTTTTGCGTGTATGTGTGCAATTTATAGTCGGCGTCTGATGGTACATACTCGGTTTGCGCCAAGGACCCCGAATTAACATCTAAATTTTATATTTGTTTGCATTTTGTCGGTTACGGTGTTACTCGAGGGAGACGAGGTCGCAAAAGACATTTCCTTACCCTCGCAAACGCCACAAATTGAGTCTACTCGCGCTATCGCTTTAAAATATAAAAGCGGGTCCGACCGTGGTTTCGGATGCGGCTAATTCCCGACACTTTTTCTTCGCCCCTCGAAAAAATTCGCGCGAGATTTTTCCTCTCATCATCGATCACGCCGCCACGTATAAATCGCACCGCACCGACTCGCCGCCCCCTATAAGCAAAATTACAATTAAGGTTTCGAAGATTCTTCAACTTTCGGGAGTTTCTGAGTGCTCCTTATTTAGAAAGTTTCGTCTTATTAAAGTTCCAGTGTTATTTAGATTCGGGAAGTATTTTAAAAATTTACGACAGCCCAAGGATGCGGGAATTTTAAGCAAACATGTACATCCAGAGTGTTACAAATTCGGCTTAAAAAGGTACGAGAGGCGACCATATCGTCTTGATGGGGGCTCTAGCGAAAACAAATGCTCTGCGGTGCTCAGACTACCAATACGCTTGCGAACTTTACAACAAAAGTACTCCCGTCGCAGTATTACGACATTTTTAAGCGTGCTCTCCTTGCCGACGCATTGAAAATATAATATTTAAAAACTGTTTCGCATAAACGACAAAACGTTTGCCTCTAATGTAAAAGCACTCTTTAGCCGAACGTTGAGACTAAATGTTTCCAGAACGCTCTCCAATTTACCGAACAGCTTTTACATTCATTTCGGAGTTGAATATCGCGAGCTTAGATTTCTGCTTAAAGCTAGAACAAAATGTTTACATTATTAGCGTAGAAAATTAAGTGGCAGTGTAGACCCGGTTCGAGACCTGGCTCGGGATCAATTATGTCGAACGTGGAAAAAGTAAATGTTCGTCTTCCGTCTCAACTTTAGAGCAGTTTAGCCTCTAGAGTTGAATAACTATCGATGTTGCCGGATTTTCGTGAAGTGGCGCCAAATCGTTGTTATTTTTAGGATGTAACGTTGATTTTGAATTGGTCGAAGATCCCGCACAAAAGGCGGCATGCCTAATTGGATCGAGCGCGAATTTCAAAGATGTTAACCGTCGCTGTGGAGAAAAGGGGTGGAAACTCAATACGGCCTCGTGAACGCAGATAGTGATTGTAACTAAAAACAAGAGAAACTCCAAACAATGGAGATGGCGTGGTGCCTTTGTTAATGTCAGACTGTCTACTTAACTGTACGTGTTTTTCTCGGTGAAATACGTGCACATCATCCTTTGTATCGCTTCATTGTATACAACCAGAAGACGATGATACTAGCGTTCGCGCCTCCCCTCGATAAACATTGAAAGTAACTTATTGTATCAACCTAAATCAAAATCCCCATTGTCTGGGCGTGGGGTTAAAAATAGGACCTCACTCGAAGTTCGTTTTAAACGAGGAGCAGGTGAATAAATCAGGACGATGAGGAATGGCACTCACATCCGACCTTCGACGAAAACGCGATACGAAGAAGCTCCACCGCGGTTTATCACACACGCTCAATTAACGCATCTCGTGCAGATTTCGCCAGCGCCCGCTTGACCAGCTTGAATTATTTCAGGCTAATAAGTTAATCGATCACCGGCACAAGTCGTTAATCCGCCCGGATCTGTCGGACCCATATACTTGTTATTCTGAATTAAGCTCTCATGGGCTTCTCGGTTTCCGTTTCCTGCCTAACATCGCTCTGACACCCTTTCATCTTCACTGACTGTGAATTATTACACCCCCAAATCAACTGCAGCGTCAAATCCCTCTTCACTTCCATGGAGATTCAATACGGAATTAAAATTACGGCCGGACCAAACACGCACGAGAGTGCCAGATAGAACACCAGAGGGGGGCTCTTTGTTTCCCGGCCAGGATGTCGGCACGTTATGTATCGCACGGCCTCCTCAAAAGGCACGTACAAAATCGACTTTTGCTTCCTGACGTCTTTTACACGGAATCGAACAGTGCGAAATCATGCGAGATTCGTCAGGTTTCATGTCGTGGAAGCGACCACAAGTGCAACATTGCAAAGAATGCAGTGAGATATGAAACGTGGAACGTGCATGTGTGTGTGAGGGGTACACATAGAGGTTGGAAAAATACACTAGTTCGGTAGTACTCGGGCTTTTGGGGCAACCTGGACGCAAACTCATAGGTGCTACTCGGATCTTCGCATTTTTTTTTAATGACGGCAGACCGCGTCAACAAGTACAAACCTGTCTCACAAAAAACAGAAGTTTAATTTTCTTCGTAGAATTCGACGAGTTCGTCATAGTGGTGGCAGTGAATCCGCTTGCCAGGGAAGATCTTCTCCTGTTGTAAGAAAAACACATCAATATTATTTGCGTGTAACTATATCTTCCGTCAAACTTTAGTGATGCGTTTATTCTTGGTGGGAAAACAAGATTCGGAGTACAAAAGACCCTCTCAGAAAAAAAAACCGGTAGCGACTCCGTCGTTTGCCAAAATAGTCCTGTTGTGTTTTGAACGCCGATTAAGTTAATTAGGAGCATGTTTTACGAAACAAAGAAAACTCTAATGAAGCGTCGCGTACCTTGCCACTAATTAAATTATTTCAGAATAATACGCACTCAATGGGAGTCAATTATTCGTAGCGTTCTCGTCAATACAGAGGTCAGATTAAATTACGCGGCAGTGATTCGATTTAAGTGTACACCAAGTCGAACAGAAGGTTACAGTTAAAACGCAACAAACGCGCGAATGGCGAAAATTCGTCCCCGATTTTGGAAAATAATCTGCCGTCGTAGTAGATTGGATATTGAATATTTGTTAATTTTCGCAGTGGGAATAGTAATTGGCTAGCGTGGCGTAGACGTGCGGCAACGGTTACGCTCGCACGAGTTTCAATCCTTTCCTGACATATGGTCCTGCGGTTGCGACCGCAACTTCTCTCTAAACTCTACCATTTATATTTATATCACGCATTAGTTTCCGCCATAACTCGATGAAATTTTAAAGTCGAATTAACGCTACGGTTCGCCGGGTCCGTGATGGCATCCAACACGTCCGACACTAATTAAAAATCAGTTTCGTCATTGTGCTCGACGTCCAAATTAGCAAATTTCAGCTGATAATTAATTCGACCAGAATGCAAATACTAATTACTGGTTCGACAATGTATCGCTGTTCGGTACGCCATCAGCATTTCAGCGATTCGGTCGTAAAAAGACCGCACACATCATTAGATCGAGATAACTTCGGATTTAATTTGTGTTTGATCGACTCGCGGGACGTGGCTTTCGAGGTCTAAAAACGTCAAAAGCACCAGTGGAAGTGACAGTGTTACATTGGAGAAATTCAATAACGAAACTTGCCCCAACTATACTCCCAACTACTATTAATAGTTGATTAATATTAAATTGTAACGTTCATAAGCTGCTTGGTCGGGATGAAAGCTCGGCACTCAAGTTTCGGTCTATTGAACACTTAATTATTAAACTAAACTCCCGAGCAACTAACGTGCCGGTCATATTAGTAGCAGTAAATGTCTAAATTCGAGTGCATTCTCGTAGAAATAGCCAACTATGCTTTACTCAACTTGCCAACTACTGGCGGCTGTATTGAAGGCGACGTCCGATGATCGATCAGGAAGTCGTTTTTGAATAAATAAGCATCAACTGTCAGTAATTGCGAATTTATCGTTTCGGAACGTCAAAAATACAAAATCAAGATGATGCGCTACTCGTGACGATTCGCGTCTTGCCTACCGCACCATGCTAGGATGAGTTATTCCGTATTCGCGCGGAACATTAAGATAAGCAGAAAATTCAGTCAATGCGATCTCACGAACGTAACTATTTTGTTCTTGAAATAGCTCGTTATTTATAACCCTCTTCCTCCCCCGAAAAAAAAAACCGTCATGAAATAGATTCTGTGTAAGCAGATTTTCTTACGAGAGCTGAATAAAAACGATCGCATCTTTTCGCAAACAGGGTGCTTTTTATACAAAGACAAAAGGGTTCTCGTGGCTTATAAAATATTATAATTAGCAAGTAGGTCTCGACGCCCGACTCTTGAATTTTAAAATTCCTCTTCCTGTCATAACTCGTTTTAAAAGGGAGAAATTTGCACTTTCGAGCTCATCAACGGTGTTTTCAGACGTTTACTGAAGAAGGGACGGATGTTTTAGCTCGGCCGTAGTCTTAAGAAATTAAATTTTTCGAATTCCTGGTTGGCATTAGAAAATCTGGAAATACATCGACGACGGACCCAAAGATCAAACGGAGGCATATTTGCCGAGCTTGTCCGTGCAGTTTTTCAAACTGTTCTCACTTTGAGTTTCTCCTTCGATTGAATAAACCCTCCAAGCAGATGGGTCCAGACCGTCATTCCCGCACCGAGTTTTCCAACGCACACATAATAGAATCCCAATTTAGAATTATCCCTGCGAAATCCATCAGATCGTCGAAAGGCCAACAATACACAAAAATCGGTCCACTTGATTCGACTCGGAGAAAACTGTTTTCGAACGTTCGCAGTGTTAACCTGATCGTCTTGGTCTTAAATTACGACAAATTACAAATGTACGTAATCCTGCCGACTGCGCCGATATTCCCGCTTGACAATCTGAAACTCGTCAGAACTCGACAAAAAAAAACAGTCTTCCGACAACTCAGATTTTGTCTTTTTTTTTTTTTAATTTAAATTTCGGTTTTGATCGTCAAGTCTTTTGATGTGCGCTCCGATTCGAGTTCTGTCGAATTTCGGCATATGCTTTGTGTTTTAATATAGAGTGTGTTTGAATGCCAGCTCTAAACCGATTTACGTGCTGCCGAACCGCTCTTTTTTGTATGTGTAGTTAGATCGGAATAAATTCGATTTATCTTTGCAGAGAGGCCAGGTCGATGGAGGATACCAAGGAAGAGGTCGGCCAGCTAAAGTAAGTTATAATTTGAGTTCGTTAGGAACGTTTGCATGCATTTCGTCGAAAGAAAAATCCACCTAATGGAAAATAAACAATCGAATCTTGGGAGTCTTTCCGACCGCATCAATAAATGCTGTTATCGTCGCCACTAAGACGTGGAGAAATTCACTTTTTAATGTGGTTTCTAGTTACAAACGCGACAGAAAAGGCACGGAATTCGAATAATCATTGCGGAAAAAATAGATAAGTAGATCTTGAATGAGAGATGAGAAAGAAGCAGTTTGTACTGCGAGAATCCGAGAAGTTTTTGATAATTACTGCGAACCTACCTGTTCTTTAGTGATATACCGGGTGGTTTTACGCAGCAATACGTTTCTCGCCCTGCGGCAACAGAATGTTGACGTTTGCCTCCATTACGTGATGTGTTCAAGTTTTGGAAATGTGCATCAACGGTTTGATGTTAGTTCAGCGTCACGCCATATTATATCATAACGTGAGACGTGATATGATGATAATGTAAACAGTAATTATCCTCCGAGGGAAACTTCGTCTCAAATACATGATGTTTACAGCCAATTTTCAACCCAGAAATTGCTCCGAGTTAAGCCATCGGTGGAAATGTGAAAGAAATTTCAGAGCAGACAAGATGTAAACGCCACTTTTCACGGTTTTTATAATTATTTCGTCGACACAACTCTAAATTAAATTTCTGTAATTAATGTTTTTTCCACAGAGTGCCGTCGAGGCAAACTTTTTGTTTGTTCGAAAATTAATTTCGCCGTTTTTAAGGTTTCGATGGGATTTTTTTCAAGTGTCAGGAATTACGTTAAATATTTTTGCAAGGTGCTTGTTAAGTTTACAAAGATCTGGACAGTTAATTATGAAGCCAGTATTAAACTCGCGAAGTGAGTGCTTCAACATAAAGAAAAATTCAAATTAAAAAGTTACGCAATCTGTAACTTTAAACTCCTTCCGAAAAAGTTGTAGATTTGCAGGAAGGACTGTTACTCTCGTCCCGCGTAAACCTGTCAGGAGGGTTACGAATAGAAGTCGTGGGTCAGTCGACGGTTTTTTTTATGACGAAAGAGAGCGTTGTTTTTTTTTTCTTGGGGTTTTAAAAAACGCGACGAATCTGCCGATTCCTTTAAGAGGATGTCACGTCTTTTGTTCGGGTTACTTAAAACACTCCACTTGAGCTATCCTCGTGTAGATTTTAACGCTTCGATAAGATTTCACCCCTTGAAGAGGGTCTCAACATAATTAAATAAATAATTAACGAAACACGTTTCCATCCGATATAAATTAAGATTGAGTTGGGTGTTAGTCTCCGAAACGAGCGACAAAAAGAGACGTCCACGTTATCTCGATAATACACCACTTTGCACTTTAATACCTCCATCTTATCGCCATTGTACGCCTCGTCCACGCGAGGGATTTCCATATGGAAAGACCACTCGGCCGCAGTTTGTCCGTATATAATACGCACGATTTATCCGTCGCAGGATCATATTCTTATTCCAAACTGATGGAGACGTTTAATGCGGCCACAATCAGAAAACGAATCATTGCTGGCAACCAAGTAATTTAATTTCAGTTTCATATTACTGCGGTTAAATTGCTCCAGAAAAAAAGAGTAAGCTCGAATTGTTATTAAAGAGTCCACAGTAACATTAAAGTATTAAATTTCGTTCGTGTTTATTCGAAATTTTACTCTTCATTATTTTTATGGTCGATGGAGTCGGAGGAAGACATTATCATTTTTCATTTCGGCTCAGTTTCGGTACGGCGATTGGGTGAGAGGACCAGCTAGCAATTATTCGGGGTAATCGTAGGCATTAGAGGGTTTTTTTTCATAACGCGGCCCAATTTTTACTTACTTTTTTTAATCTCGCGTGTTTACTCCACGAATTTATTTGCTCAGAAGCGGTTCGCCGCTACTAGTAGCTCTACGATAAATTTAACTCCCGTTTTAAAACGGCCAGAGTTAATGGAGGGGAGTGTCGCACTAGGCAGGCTAGTTAGTACGTTACTTCCACGTGAGTTGATAGAAAAAGCCGCTGTTTTCATTGTGACCAGAGGCGGGGCTTTGTTCTTGCAACGAAAACATTTATTTAGGTGTGAGGGCGGTTCTCGTAAACGAAATCGCAACTAGAGAGATTTCTACGTATCCTACCGACTGCGCCATTTTTATGCAAAGCTTCGAGATTAACCTTCGTAAGTTCTTCCATTACGAGACATTTCTTGTCGTCGTTGATCAAGGCACGAATTTTTTTGAGCCGACTAATGGCCGAAATTAGCAAGTTTGATGCCTCCCCATCTCCGCGCGAAATTATTTTCGTCTCAGCCGTAATCCGAGATGATAAAATTGCGATCGCGATTAAAAAAGTCATCCCTGGACGGTGCACACGTGGGATTTTCGCCGGCGCTTAATATGATAATCCGCGTAATAAAAAAACGTGGAAAACTTGTTTAAGTAAAGCATGTTTTATTGGACCATAAAAGGAGATCTTAAAAAAAAGGGACGGCGAGTTATCGACGAGATCGATCGTCTCCTATTGAAGCACACTACGCCCTACTCACACATATATCGATAGTAACAGTGCGCTTTGCGTTTCCTTTCTCTAGAATCTGTAAATTACTGGGAGCTATGATGCATGGCTTCCTTTCCGCAACCATTGAAACTGTTCCAACCTCATGTGATGAATTAAGTTGGGCGTATGAATAGAAACGTTCCGGCGGGGGATCGAGAGGGGACGTTTGATGAATAAGGTATTAAAGGTCTCGGATCAGACGACGACATCGACTCTGGATAATCATTTCTTTAATTAAATGCGATTTTATGTGCGTGTTACGGTGGAATTTTGATGGGAAATTAAATTGTTAATAAGACCGGAAGCTGGCGTCGTAATGATCCAATCAAAATACGAGCGCCGCCATCGATATTGTGGATTAATAGACATGTGTAGGGGACCCTGCATGTATAATGGAGTTCGGATGCTGACCTGGACCCTGGAAGAGTGGTAGCTTTATCAAACAACGCCGAATGGTCGGAGCGGCCGCAAGACAAGGCCGTTTATTAATCGGAGAGGGTCAAACAAGGGAACGTAATTTGTTGCGTTTGGATTTCCGAATGTTATAGACGTCCGGAATGAGACCCGAGTCTTGGACGTGTTCCATTAACATCCACTCGAAGAAGAATTCGTGTGTTCGGAGGATGGATGACTCGCATTTAGCACGAAATTGTAAATTATATGCCGGAGCTGATCACCCGCAAACTGATGGGAAGGTCGCATCCCGCCAAAGGCAACAGATTAACTTCCTCTTAAACGACCTTATTAAAATTTAAAAGTCTCCCAACGTTCCGTTATCGAAATCGCAAATTAACCCTGCCCCTCCCACCCTCACGCCCGGCCGGAGCAAAAATCCGATACGTCGCTTTTAACGATCATCGCTCAAAAAAGATTCAAATTTATGTCCATTGTCAGATTAAAATTAACGATTCGTCCCAAGAAAAACACCAAGAGACGTTATCGTTATCGTTAGTTTCACGGCAATTAAGCAGACGGGCGAAAAGTGGAGCTCCTCGACTTGAGCAAAATTCATTTCGGTACTAGTTTGACACGGCGGCGGCGGGAGAGTCGTAGGTGGCGAAACATGTCATTATTACATGGGTTTTGGTGCGCTCACAAACTATTAAATGTCAGTAGCTGTCAATGGAGCATTACAACTTCACTAATTGGTAATTAGAAGCAGAGAGAGAAGGCGGGCCGCTGGAGTAGTTATGTTCATAACAAATGCGTCGTGGCGCGCCATTATCATAAGAGGGCTCAGAACTAGTGTTGCCAGATTTTAATGAGGACATTGGCAGTCTACGACAAGGAGCAGAACAATATTCGTACGAACACGCAAATTGTTGGCTCTGACGTCGGTTACATAACAAGTAAAAGAGTCGGCGCGAAGCACCCGACACCTTTCTGACGAATTCTGAAAAAAAAAGGAAAATTTTGACGTGCTGGGTATCTTACCGACTCCGCCAAAACTTCTTTTTCAACGAAACAGACGTACCGTTCTCACTCGAAAAAATGTGGAAAGACTCTTCGCAATTACCACCGTAACACGAAGTGGAGCGGTTTGTGTGTACTCAAAATTCGGTTACCATTCGTTCGATGCAATTTTTTGTACACTTGCACCAATAACTTTTCGTTTTCTGACACAAACTGCTCGCACATGCTAGAATAAATGAAGCCATCGGGCGAAAAACGCGGAGAATTTTTTATGTTAATGGTCACATAAATATCCCCTGTGTCCAGGTAATAGGTGCGGCGCTCAAATGTATTTGCGGCAAGTCGATGCTGTTTTAGGTAGCACTCAAAAGTCAGCGACGAGATCTTAATTTGGGAACAAAGAAGGTATTCTTCCTCGTTAAAACCGAGGCCTAATAACGTATTCAACAAACCTTGAAAGGCGTAATTTGGAAGGGCTCATCGCCAATTAATACATTAATTTAGGAACATCCTCTTCTCTCGGAACAGAATTAAAAAGAATTTCATTGATTGGCGTTTCCGTGAAACGGGCCAATTATCATATTTCATACGAAATTGGTGCCGCTCCAGGTATATTAGCTTGATGAAACGTTAAAACGACCATCTTTGTTGAGCGTGTCGGATGATTAAAGCAATTGTACGAAATTAAAGTTGTACGGTGCATTAAATAATTCCAAGGATATAATGAAATTGTTGACGAAAAGAGTGGATAAATTGCAAGCATTTTTCCTGCACTTCATTTTACAATGCGAGCTGTCGGGGCATTTCGCTACGAAATAAACTCTTAGAAAGCATGCTTCGTACTCCCCTTGCACAAAGACCGAGCTTTATAATTACGGAAACAAAGCTTCTATTTATAATGTAGGTACGCGCAGTAGTGGATATGAAAATAACCTTTGAAGTGAAAATGCGGCGTGAAACTAAGGATCGAAATCCCTCCGAATGCAGCCGACGTATTTCCGACAGAAATAA